CAAATCATGTAATCTACACAAAACAAGTTCATGTTTTAGCAACTCAAACATCCACAATAATAACAATGTTATAATATAAATTATACCACATAAATACTTTTATAATTGCTAAAAAAAAATTAAATATATTTTTTGCGAGTAGGGTAGAGTAGGAATGTGAAAATTGATGAGTATTTGACATTCTTATCCGATTTAATCGAAAGACCAAAAACTCTTCTGCATTCCTATCCGATTTTTGCGGCTAGCTGTTCAATAGAGTAGGATAGAGTCGAGTAGGGTAAGAAATTGCAGCCAATCAAAAATTTGAACACCCCTAACAATTACCTCTTTTCATTCGAATTAAACAATGAATAGTGAAAACCCCTTTAATAACCACAAACCCTTAAAACCCATGACAATTGATATTAATTAATCTTGAATTAATTCACTCAAACAATATCAATCTCATGGTGATCTCAAATCGCAAACTCAATTGTAACTATGGTTGATACATATGTCAAGCATTCAAATTATCAAACACATAGTGTGCGTGTATGATAATAAAAGATGAACACAAGCAATTTATTGGCACAAAAAACTTTCATCTAGAAAAATCGCAAGAAACCACTCGGAGTTTACCAAAACCTATTCCACTGCTCATAAAGTCAATCTACAAGTACTCGATTCTTATACCTCAACCAATACCATGACTAGATACTTATTTCCTTCGTAGACTCTCCGCTAAAAGTTCATCTCTAAAGTTTTGTGTAGCTTCACTTGAACTCCCCGCTACACGATTCGTTTAGGTCTTGAGCAATTATGGGTACACCAACTATTCTCACTATGTACACTTCAATGGGTTTGGCAAACCACCANCCTTGAGGAATAATGGGTACGCCAACTATTCTCACTATGTACACTTCAATGGGTTTGGCAGACCACCAAGATCTTCAACTTCAATTTGTGAGGTTGGGTAAAATCTCTAATGGTAGTCTTGGATCTGAGGGATTTAGGTTAGTGGTAGAAGCTCTCAAGGTAGAAAGTAGTTTTTCTCTCTTAGAAATCTCACAAAAGCTTAACCTAGCTCTGGGAAAGGCTCTCTCTATTTATAAGTCCGGAATAAGGATAATCTTAGTCAATAAAAAAAATTCAAATTCACGAACTACAGCTCAATCAGTGGGAGGGAGGTCATAAGGTAGTTGTCACTAAAATGAAAACGAGGTTCCAATCATGATTGGGAGAGTAGACCACTGAGCGACTATGAGACCACTCGAGCAAGGTCAAGTGACTGCTCGAGCGAGCTCATAGAACGAGCCTTATTCTCCCTCCATAGACTTTTTTTATTTTCTTTCCTAAGTCATAAAGAGACCGTTCTAACGAAAACTAACAAATACAGGGCGGTCCCTACTAGATTTTTAAGCCTAAAACCAAGCAAATAATTTGTCTTCTTGAGCACTAAAAGGTGTTACTCAAGAGATGTCCGCTAATAACTCAATCTATATTTTCAAAATACCAAATGGTTTGAAAAATCTTTTTTTAAAAAAATCACCTAGAAACCATATATGGATTAATCTCTAATTTTATTTTAACTTTAATCCTCCTAAAGTAAATAAACTAAGGGATCATCTTAGATATATAGGTCATTACTTTTGTCCTAAACTTGAATGTGCAACCGGAGTGTGAATAATATAACTTTGAAGCTTGATCTCCTCCATTTAATGACGTTTTCATATCTTCAATCTTGGTAGCATCATGACCATGAAATTGGTTGATTTTTACAATATACTCCACAAAATTAGCCAATTACAAATATATATCTAACAATCTCCCCATATCTTTAATAATACTCTACACTCCTCTTAAGTTTTCAAAAATCTTATGTGTTTCTTTAAGTTTTTAAAAATATATTCAAAAACCTTAGGTGGTGTTTGGTAACAGCCAATTTTTGTTTTTTTTCATTTTTGTTTTCATTTTATGGCTAAAAAAAAAACAAAATTTTGTTTGGTGAATGTTTTTGTGTTTTTTTTAACATTTCCGTTTTAAAAACAAGGCTAAAATATGAAAACATTCAAAAAGATGTTTTTGAAAACATCCAAAAAAAAAAA